ACTTTGGTGCATTAAATGTAACAAAAAAGTTCATTCACTGTCTTCATTAAACATGTATACATCGTCACTATATTTAAAATTTGATTAAAATCTTTGACAGGGTAACTGAGGAATTCTACAATTTAGCAATAATAGTAACGTATATAGCAACAACTACATTTATTACATTTCGTTCTCAACAAATTTACCGGTCCTTATATATGCATATTAAATTAAATTATTAGAGGTGTACAACATTTGTAATCATACAATTGAAGCATTATATATTAAATTTCCAAACATTTAACATATTCTAACCAGTATTATTTTAAAGTTCCACTCAAACGTGTTATTTTGTGTCTTTCGTCTGTTGACTAATATATCGCCCAGGAAGAGTTCTGGAAATGAATCAATCCTGGAAAACGACCTCATGCAATGACAGTCAAGCAGTGATTCGATTGTTTCAATCGCCGTTCGCCTGTCAAGTTGCCCTGTTAACGCGTCCCTTTTTCAAAAAAAATAAACTTTCCATACATATTTATTTATAGTTGCATAATTCTAGAAAACAACGACAATATATAACATACCAAGGATAGTCGTTAACTTGTTTAAATGAATTACCAAAGTAAGCCAATGGTGTTAAAGCCTTAGAATTATCTGAAACAAAATTGTCCAAAATTATACCTCGTTCATACCATGGAAGGTCACGTTCATACTAAACAACATTGTTAAAGGGCGGCCGTCGTCGCGCCGCGTCCTGTTCGATATGGGACTCATAGTGACGTATACAACGCGTGTAAAACACATTGTTTATTTACATGAAATTCGAACACGCGCTACGCGACGACCACCGCGCTTTAACGTATGAAAATAATGATTAGCGCGGTCGCAACATTACAGTAATAACAGATAATTTCAGTTTTGACATAGTTTAATAACATCGTAGGTTGCATAGCCTAATTTTGATATAACAAATCCACGGCAAAAATTACACCTCGTCGGAGTTAAAGAGGGGATCATCGTGTTCGCTCTTGGGTCCCGAACAGAATTACAAATGCAGAGAGAAATTAGGAAGCTTTTTGACAATTTTTTTACTTGAATGAACTCGAGAATTTCTGGTAGAGGGCATTGATGCCTCTGTTTATGTAACTTTACGCATTTTTTTAATCAGACATTTTACGCTATGTCACGGTAAAATCCGCCATTTTCACACTGACGTAAACCAAAGACACTAGTGTCTTAGTGTAAACTGTTTATGTAATACAAATGCCACCGTTGTTAAAATGTATGGTGGTGCTATAACAGCCTAAATGCTACGTGAGAGTAAGATATGTAATCCGTGTTTCAACTATTTCGCAGACACAGAAATCTAGATTCGGGTTCCAATACTTTGTCAATTTCAAGTATTACTATTATTAGTGGTAGGTTTGATATACTGTACTGTAAAAGTCCGTAATTCAAGATATTGCAAATTTAAAATAAACCATATTCTCATAATGATAAATTAATATTCTGTTAATTCATGCATTGAATCTAAAATGATGGCGTGTATAGTTACTTCAATATATTTTGCAGCACATTCTAGTGGACTAGCCAGTACGCAATTTCACTGGAAGTAGCATAGAGGTGTAAACAATATTATCTCTTTGTTACATATTAGCAGACAACGCCCAGACGGTAATATTGATTTGAATATAGTAATAATCAATACTGCTGTGATAATATCATTTTGCAATTTGCAGTCTGACAGATTAAGAAGATTTGAGTCGAATTGAAGATTATATGTCATCTTCTTTACGCTTTCATTATTGTGGGTCAATTGCCATCAGAGTACAAGAGATAAAATTAAGTTCATCAGACATTCTTTCGAGTAACAACATACCGAAATGTCATGAAAGATGATCAAAATAGACATTTAGAACTCATTTTATAGTAAAATTATTTCTCCATGATTTAAAATTGTGCTCCGTGGCATGCGAAATAATATTGTTAAAGCAACTTTAAAAAATGACCTATAATTTAGTCAATTTCGAGAGTGGTAATTGTTTTTCGTTATGTACAACAAGTGTTTTCCCAAATTGCCTTGGATATTTACTCAGGAGCGTGATCACTGAGTAATACGACTCGAATTGCTTTAATAAATGAACTGTTGTGGAACGAACTGAAAAAAAGTATTGATTACGAATTGTATGGCGTAATACTAACGCTTGATGAATCATAAAATATGCGTTGTACTCTATGCACACGCGATGGATGACAGATTAAACTATCAGACGTTGCCATGGTTTTTTGTGATGGATTCCTGATCAATTCGATCGTAAATAGTAATTTTCCGCCACAGGTAACGTTCAAAATAAACAAAATTGGACGCGTTGAGCGGGAATTAAAAACACACACGCTTCAAAGAAAGTTGATTGATTATCCAACTGGTTTATTCTTCGCTATAGTTTATGTGGTTCATTTGTTGATGGTTTATCAAGATATGTATTTTTTTTTTATGTAATTTATTTTTTTCTGCAAATATTTCATTGCTAATCTCTATGATTTTATCGCCATAGGAACGTAAATAAACGACGCGTGTATGGTGTGAATGCCGCTGTGGGTGGAGACTGTCAGTACACGACTCTGTAACTGATGAAAACGTACACGTACACCTTACTAGAACAAGATGAGTTCGTGTTCCCCATCACATCAGTGAGAAAGATTATAATTATCTCTAATTAAAATATCGCGACTTGTCGTTTTCGGCACGGGTTTAACGCGGGGGGGGGGGGGGGTCGTAACCTGCGCGCGCGTGGAAATTATGTCCCAAGCGACGATAACAACACACGCTAAAATGCAAAGGCTCATGGGTAGACGCTTGTCAGTAAACAATGACACGCTATGGCCATCTGAAGCATGTGCGTGTGACGACTCCCCCGCTTTAAATAAAAACAAACATTGTCTGTTTACATGAAATTCCAACGTGTCGCACAATGACAAAGTCTTCTTTTCTTTCTTTTTTGTCACAATGCACTTGAATATAAATCCAGCAGTACAAGTTAAACTCCACAAAGTGTTGTCCAACTCGCTTAGTATTAAAATGAACCGTTCGATATGTTAATGTTAAAGATTGAGAGACGATGTTAATACACACGTGTGTTCAAAAATATCCGGCTAATTAAATAGGATTGAAGTAATAGGCCCAAATATTAAAAACTCATCATTTTAAGCAGTAAAAAGTGTTTCCTCTAAAAATTAACGATCCCGGACCGTTGCTTGATCCACAGGGGCCACCGGGGGATAAGTGGCGACTTTGAACCGTGACCTCGGGTTAATCTGTATTTCTCAATTTTCCTACTTGAGGGCAACATAAGTTTTTTTTTGGCCTAATAGCAGGCAAGTAGCTAGAATTTTTTGTCGACCAAAAAGTCATTTTCCGGCTGTCTAGATGCAGTTTACGTACTGGAATGACGTCACCAAGATCGATAAAGTTAAAATTGTATTATTAGGATTAGCGCCACCACACGCCGTAATGATAACATGTGGGTTCACGTGCAGCGAAATTGTTTGCAAACAACTACTGAGACAACGCATTAGGTTTAATGGAATAATAATTTTTAAAAGCCAGTAATTACGCTGGAAACGTCCCACTAATTGCAACTGACGGCGGGCCGGCTGGACAGATTAGCTTTATCGCGAATCAATAAATCACAAATAAAGCAATCATTATTTTTCATTTTCAATCAACTAGGCTAAATATTTCCATTTTAATTTCTAGAGCAATATAGCTTTATGTCAAATCCACCATGAATCGGCTTTTCCTTTGATTTCTAAGCAACCACTCAACAGATTTTAATGGAACTTGACACACTATTCAAGAATAATCCTTATTTCATTGGTTTGGGATTGAAACCATGCATTTTACCTATTTTGTATAATTTGCTAATTGTAGCTGTAGAAACAAATCTTATATGCGCTGTGGAATAATTTACAAACCTGGTTAGTTTTTGGTTGAGAATATCAAATCTCATTTGAATAATAATTAATCAATGTTTTTTACTGATATCTCTAAAAAACAAACACTTTAACAGATTTAAATGAAGCGATAGCTGGTCTCGGATATCTCAGATAAACAATCAAATTTATTGTTTTTATATTCTTGAGTTTTCCATCAGTAACAGGATTACCACGTTGTAAATTAACAAACTGAATTCTTCTTTATTAACCTTATAGTCTTTATATAATGATGATTTTTATATATTTCCATTTTATTTTGTGCCTACAATATCCTCAGCAGACAAAAATGTTCTAAACTTTCATTCATTTTTTACTGTGCTCTACATGTTTCTCTGGATCAATGTTACAGTATATATAGAATAATCTGATTAAAATCTATAGGCAACCTACACTAAAACAAAAGATAATTTAAAAAAAACAAAATAAATATTATTAATCAGATATGAAAATAGAACACACAACTGGATGACTGGTTGCCATTCTCCAAACTAGAAATGCCACAGGCCAGGGGAGGAGAGGAGCAGGCAGGATATATAATTGTTCACAGCTAAATGGCAGCAGAGCACGGGGAAAAAAACTCGCTATCTACCTGGACATGCTAAATATTGGCTTTCATCACAGTAATAAATAAAAATGTTAAAATAAGTTTTTATGGTATTCAAAGGCAGATATACAATGATAGACCTTTTCCAGTCCAACTCTTAACACTGATTTTTGATAAGTTGAATGTAAACGGGAAAAATAATGTAATACTGGTATTCGCTGGATTTTATTTTCACTGAATCATCGTTTCAGCAAAAACAAATTCCAAGCAAAAAAAAAAAAATGTTGCAGTAGTCACACAGGCAGACGGCGCCTATACAACAAACAAACTGACAATCTGTTTGGAAAGCCTGACAATAAATGATTTATGAAAAGCAGACAGACAGCTTTTATCGGGGATCCCCTGCTGGTACCAGACTTCATAGGGCTGGAGCCAGTGTCACACAAAGTAATGCATGTAACGCAATATAAATAACAAAGTGCCATATGAACATAGTTTATTACAATACAGATCTCAGTGGAATACAATATTTACAGTAGCTACATCTTATTAGGGCTGATGTCACTGCTAAGAACGTAATGTAGAAATCAATCAAACATTTATCAATTCATATATACAAAAACAGATTCTAATCAAATTTTTAGAGAAATACAAGCAATGATACAGACAAAATGGTACAGTCCAAATGGAAATGATATTTGAATGGACGGAAAATAGGTCAGCTGCAGTCATGTGACCTAAAAGAAAGACTGTTATTGGATGTACACTGATTTGCAGTAGAAGCTTGAAATATTGACTATTGAAGTGGATTATAGTGAAGTACAGAAAGCTGAAGTAGTTATTAACATTTTATACATTTTTTTATAAATCAAAATGGATACTAGAATTCAAATTGACTAATCCAGAAATGGGAGTGAGACATTGTTATTAGTTCTAATTAATATGAATGAGTTTGCTCAACATTATCAAATTAGCAAGTGTCAATAATAAATTTGCAGTAACAATAGGTGATTTTCCGTACTACTGCGAGATCTCGCGAGATGCATGAAAGACGCGAGTCGAACGTCTGCCGCAAAAATCGAACGATTTGATTTTCAACTCGAATTTCTTTATTTTGTAGCTCACATCGACCGGCCGATCTTCGACAGAGGAATATTGCATTCGAATATCCTCACTTAATCGAAATTGCCCATCATCAAATGTGTACAGCACATTATTGACATGGAAATGTCCCCCAAAATACTTTCGCGTTTGTCGAATCTCACGCGACGTTTGACGCCACTATGACGCTATGACCTTTGTTTGTCCTGTTTTTACGTTCGATTTCACGCATAACGCGTGATTCTCGCAGTGAACGGAAAATGGTCAATTGTTATGTCACATAAATGGTTATGTGTGCATTATAGTTATAGAAAATGTTTAGCTCTCAGGGCAATCACTCTTACAGATTCAAATTTGAATGAAAGATCGTGATCGGTATTTGCAAATTTTTCTAAATACATTTTTAAGCAAAGCCCAGCTTTGTGGCTTTCACTGTAATGTCTTATTCATATAAAGTATAGTTCTAAACTAAAAATTGTATTGTAGACATTAACATCAACTGTCAAGCGATAGTTGAAGATTTTTACAGAGAGATACCATCAAATTCCAAGAAAATTTCAGTTTTTAAAGTGTGTATACAAAATTTGGGGCTAGAAACTTGAATTTGGAATAAATGAAATGTACATTAATCTAAGTTTTCACCCTACTATCATGTGAATAAGACAACTACTTTTACCCTAGCAGTTTGAATCTATTGTTTTCTGTTGCTGGACTGCACCATGATCAGCAGAAAACACAAATCTGTCAATTTGTTCTTATTTTTTATAATCCATGTGATAATAAATAAAAATGTTAGATTGTTATTTTACATATACTAGTATGCGAACAGTACCTACATAACTGGAATATAAAATTATAAATACATGCCATGTTACATGACACAGAGTGTGTTTACTAATTAGTCATCATAACATACTTGTATTTTTTATTACATGGATTAAACAATGAACAAACTGATGATAAACACCTTATGCCTTTAGATTTATTAAACATAATCATTATAAGTATCAGTGGCTGACATAGCTTTGTTCATATCCCGCTGCATGTTACTTTTATCTTTAAGCTTAGCCTGTAGTAACGAGTGTTCTAATGTTCCAATGCGTACATCCATCTGTACTACCTCATTTTTCAGTCTTTGTAAAGCTTGTTTAATTTTCACCAGTGGAGCTGTAAGAAAAATTATCACATATGTTAAATGTTTAAATTTCATCGTTATTGATTAAGATCCATTAAGATCAAAAATACTCACTGCATCAAAATTTCTGGCATTTCACTTATGACAGTATTTTACATTACATAGAAAGTACTTTCTCAATTTAAAGAGACAAACAATGAAAAACAATGTTTTGTTTTGAATAAAATGTTTTCTATGTTATTTTAACTTTCCGTGTATAGCAGAAAAGTGTACATTGAAACAAGCATACACACTACACATGACATAGCAAAATGTTAGTTATGGTATCATTTTGTTCTACACAGTGAAATCAGAAACCAGAGTGCCATTATTCTGTTTAGGATTCAAATAATGATTGGTGAATATACTGGATAAATACTAGGTGTAACATGGCTGGATGAGAAATGAAAGAGCACCCTCACCTCCATCAGTCATACTGGATCCTCTTTCCTCCATTTCCTGTTTACATTTCTCCAATTCTTCAGATATCTCAGCTAATGTCCTACTACGTTCTGTTACGCCACCACTGGCCTGCCGATATTGTTCTTTCATCTGTAACAACAATAATTCTATTTAAACGACAACAATATGACACATACATGTAAATGAAAAACCACAGACAGAAGTTATCCAAGAATGATGGTTTCCATTATAATACATTGTGATGTACTGCACATAAATAGCCTTATGGCAATTATGCACACTCTGACAATATTAAACATCAGCCAATATTATGTTTTAAGATAACAATTATGTGCATGTATAAATATACATGTCAATAAGTGATCTAGATTTCTACATGACACATATTATATACCTCAAAGTAAGCACGAAGACAGTACAGCGTACGAAGACAGTACTTGTAATAACCTTATTATTATACATCTTTTGCTTCCAAGGATACATCATGGGAATGCCAAAATCCAAAAAGTTTAGAACAGAATCAGCAAACTTCTTTGTGTGGAGTCCAGTCAAACCCTGGTTTATTTTTATTATTAAAAAACGCTTATGCGCGTTATCATTCCATATTTGGAATTTGCCTTTCCTTATGTGGTAGGATGAAAATACCCCGTAAAATACCTCAAAATTACGGCAAACTGTAACTTATGGCGTTACGGTGATACATGTAGATGTATAATAATATAGTATAATGCTATTCACTGTGCCCAATACTGACATTATCATTATAACATTATCTGCTCACCTCTGCTGAGTTGTCCTGCATATGCCGAAATTCTCCTAATAGATGCTCTAGCTGATTATTGATATATTTTTCACGACTATTTATCTTCTCTAATGTCCTTGAAATCTCACTGTGTAATTTGTCGAGATGTCCCTGTAAAAAAATTACAATGTAGTGTAAGAGAGCAAGGTGCACCAAGCAAGTTTAATTGCACACAACCACTTAGCATGAGCAAAGAGGTAAAATAAGTTAACCTATACTAAGAAAATGTTCTTGAAAGCTTAGTACGGGCTGAGAAACAATATGTCTGATCCACTTTGAAGACCCAATCCCCCTATTTTGGCTAGATTTAGTTAACTGCTGTGATTGTTTCTGAGTAATCTTCATGTATATTAACTGATACAAATATTACATCCTATATAAATACGAGTGCAAGTAGCAAATGATCTTTTAATATATATACATATACTACCACAACCAAATATTACTTTATTGATATGTGCATGGTGACATTCTCTTAGATACAGTCTGTACAAATAGCAGCAGTTAATACATGTTTCAATAGACTGAAAAATACTAATTCTAAACCATGTAGAGCATTTACTCTAGCAGGATTTGCATCAATCTCCCAGGCAGAGTTCTATTCCACGAATATATCTCTGCCACCACGCGATCTTATGCTTGTCGTTGATTGGTCGATGCATCACAGTGGCACTACTTTCAAAGGCGCCCAACAAAACATTGCCATGCAAATGTTTGATTTTCGAACCCGACGAATGTGTATGCGTTGTTTGCAGATTTTGCCTGTTTTCAAAGTTAGAAGCTTTTTTTTTTCTTTCTGTAACACAAACGGTGTTGCAGTAGGACGATTTAGTCGTCAATACTAGGAAGTGCTTTCGTTAGTTTGTAATTCTTTGCCTGGCAATCGACAGGACGGTCAGTTTGATGAACCGAGTAACACCTTGGTAACGGTTATTACGCAATGGAATTATTTTGTTTTGTAAATTATAACTATTTCACCGTTTTCAGTGCGTTAGCAAAAAAATCATTATCAGCTATCGATGAAATCTTTTAAAACTAGTTTATCAGTAGTAATAAATAAACACAAGATCCCTCTCATAACAAAAATACGCAAATAATTGGCGTAGTAAAAGTCTTGTGGTGTTTCACCACAAAATGGCGGTGTGTGGTGGCAGAGATACTTTCGGTGATCTAACCGCAAGGAACTCTGGGAAGGAGAATGGATTTGCATAATTAGTATAATAGTGGTTCCGATGACATGTATTACATGTAAAAGCTGACTACCATTCAGAGAACTGAAGTGGAACTTTACTGGGTTAAAAATAACAATGGCAAAACATAACACAGACTAATAGTAGTGTAAATGGCATAAACATAAACATTCCATAACATAATTTCCCTAAATACTCACATTACTGTGTTCAGGACAACCAGTTTTAGTTATCAGGCTATTTTCAAAAAGCAAGGCCTAAAAAACATAGACTAGATGTAACAGGCATATACATACCTTAGTTTGTGATAGTGACTGTTCAATACCATCTCTATGCTGATGCATTTGATCTACATGAGTACGCCAGTCTTTATTATCGGTGCGTATCATTACTTTCAAAGATGGCATAACACGTTCCACCTCTAGTTTCCAGTCAATGGCATCTGTGGTAGATTCCATAATTTCTTGCGGTTTGCTTGATTCACTACTTATCTAGAATATTATCAGAAATAGTGTTAAGTATAGTCAGCAAAATTAAAATAGATATTTTCTTTTAGTTTGATGCCAGCAGATATGAGTGGTTACTGCCATAGTTCCCTACTACAAACGCATATTTCTACACTTTGTAAAGGTCATAAAAATCATACAGTGTGACTGATGAAATCAAATTACTAATGAGCGACAATAAAAACTCTTTGATAATCATCAAAAAACAAAGGTGGTATAGGCAAACATATGTGATGTTTTCTGGAGATCTGTTCAATTGCAAACTTTCTAATACTAATAAATCAATCTCAGATTGTAATTAATACTCACTGTCTTATTTTTCAAGTTTTTCAGCCCTTCTAAATCCAAGAAACTTTCTTCATCTTCAACATCTTCATAATCTTCCTGTAAAGTAGAAATGTATGTACAGAGTAAAACCACTTATTAGTGTTGAAGTCACTCATCAACTAAATACAAGCCAGGTTTTAAACTACTATATCCTTTCACACATATTGCATTTAAGATTTCAGGATGACAATCAAATTCTGCAAGTAAGTGTCACATTTTGTCTTGACACAGTACACCGACTATTAAAACACTTACAGCCATCTCTTCTTCTACTTTATTCAGAGTTAACTCAGCATCATCATCCATGGTTGATTCCTCTTCCATTTCTTCTTCCGGATATTCAGGTCTGTAAAAATCACATACCAAATACATACACTTCAAAACATAACTCCCAAGCACGGTGAAAATTTGTTCAAAATTTTAATGTCAAGATTTTAGCTAATCATGGAATAAAATAAAATATTGTTGTTCTGTGGTGTCATGATAAATTTGAAGGAGATGATCATTGTGACTGTATGTGTTACAGAGTTCATAGCAACATATGTGGGTCAAGTTAGTTTCTTGCATGCATTTACACAAAATGCACACATGATAATCTGTGTCTGTTGAAGTTATACCATCAGGAACATTCTGTTGAAGTATATTTAAATACTGAGACTTAGGTTAAAAAACAAACCAATGTTCATGAACTATCCGGGCTGAAACTTACTACTTATCAACTGAGTTATTATTATAACTTTATAACTACAATAAATCCATTTTTCATTGGTGTTTTTAAATAGGCACTCCACAGAAATGACTTTTCTGATGTCACGACAGTAGTGTGTTCACATGATTCCTCGAACTAAATTTAAAAACCAAAATCATAAATACCTATTCCATTTAAAATTTGTCTGCCTAAGAGTTTCATCAGCAAACTTGTCAAGTACATAGATGACATGTTCTCCATATCCAGACTTTAATTTGGAAGGAGGGAAATCTACTGTGGCTCCGAGTTGACGTACTTCAGTAAGGATATTAGAAATAGTAGCATTGGGATCATCATACTGAGAAAAAAACAATGACATGTAGTTATTAGTATTTATGTTAAACTCAGAATCGCTGTCAGATTAAACATGACTGTGAACAAACTAAAATATAAGTGAAATGACATGGGTTGCTCATCAGAAAAAAACACCAGAATTTAGCAGTGGTGAATGTCACACGCAACGTAATATTACCGTAATTGGTATAGTACAGGTGTGATGGTTCAAATACCAAAATGGCAACAGTAACATAAAGACTTCCCTGGCGGCGATGATAACATACAAACACGGAGTCAACAGATGAGGTTTCAACTGGTACTGGTATTATTATACTCTGCAATCATCAAGTACAATAACGCGGTAAAACTCCGCTACTCCAATAACTAGATACTTAAACTCCAATACAATTCAACGAGATCTCCGATCTGAACTCAGTGCTGAACAACTCCTCTATACCACTGTCTATAAATAGACCATTACATCAGCATACATAATGAGTCTGGAACTTACTACAAATTTCTAGAATGTTCCATTAATTTCTATTGCCTCCTACAGTGTTCTATTACCTGTTCAACCAGTTTCTAAAAAAAATCTAGACACAGTACGGTTCTAGAACATTCTCAGTGACACGGAAGTGGTAAATAAGTCATATGTGACAGTGAAATAATTAGCAGTATTAGTAGCGCATATGATTATGTACATGGCAGAGATGTGTCTATGGTCAAAATAATTTATACTTTAAAGATTTAACATACAATACATGCATTTTGGGGTTAATGTCCATTTCCCATTGAAGAAGTACTTCTAATAGAGCACATTGGCACATACTGTATCTGCTTCATTGGAAGCATAACTCAAAAAGAAGGGCATATAAACCAAAATATTGTATGCTGGACCTATTTTGACCATAGACACAACTCAGTCATTTACATAAGCGATAAACAGGTAAATGCAGTACTAAACAGTGTAAATATGTTTATCATAATTATTTCCATACCTCCTGTGGTGGATCAAATTGTTTTCCAGATAAATTAATTAACCAAGATGACAATGATGTAAACATATAGAACTGTTCGCCAGGGTTGGTTTGTATAGCAAAATAATGTCTGCAAAGAAAAATTATATTAATTTATTCATTTAGACATTTACAGCAGGGGTTTTCTTATAAGGCAGTGACAGGCTACTCTTGTCCTGAATGGCATTACTGTCAGATACTTCACTACAGGTTTTCATTGAAAGCAGAATTTGCTACAAATGTTCTGAATATTGTCTAATCATTGCTGACAGGGTCTGAGTGTTGCTGTTAATTTATTGTATGTATATTCAAATAATTAGAAATGCCCCATGATGCTAGTTGCCACATAATTATATAAATGCAAATTTCTACAAGGCAGTAACAACAAATCATCATATAGAGAGGGCAAGTTACATTTCTTTTTTAAATTTTATTATATGTTCATTTTTGTTTGGTTTCCTCATTTTTTTTTCTTGTTACATAACTTAGTGTTATTACTGCTGATCCTCTGGAGACAGTGTTGTCTAATAAATAAATGTTCTAACCTTGAGACAACTGAATTCCTGATCATGTGGGTACAATATACACAAATTTTTAATAAATACAAAAAAACTTGAATCATATGTACCGGGTAATCAATTACTAAAGTATACATTATCATACCTACCCGGTATTAGCAAAATAGAACAATTACCAATAAGAAACAATTATCTATTAGATGCACTGCCAAACAAAAATGAATAGATATGATTTTCATCGAAACATCACTTTGTTACCTTGACAATGGTTTGAAACCAACGCCTCTGAGGAATTCCTCTTCATAATTCAATAATTTTAGTTTATCAAGCAAGTCTTCCATCACAACAAACGGCATGTATGCCATTCCCGGTCCGCCTTCAGCTGATCCTTCTGTCGGCCGACGCTGCTGCTGTTCCTCTGCCATGTTTCGTCTAATCTATACAGATTGAGCCGAGTTTTCTTCGCAAAGTGTAAAAATGTCATGCACACAGTGCATAGATGAGCTCTATCACAATTTTGAAGACAAAGTTTGTGTTGTCACTACAAACTCGACGTCTTGACTTGACGTCTTTTCGCGAGTTTACCGATTCACTTACAAATTTAACACGCACAGATCAGTCTCGTCAGATCCCACGAATAATCGGAGCAGCTAAAAGGTATACATATGAAATAAATACGAGAAATTCGCCGGTAAATCTCCGATGACCATCAAACCAGAATTCAAACATTCAACATAAATACGTCTGGTCAAAATATTTGTTACCCGGAAATGACGTTTTACTTGGCTTGTCGGGTAAATAGTCACCTGATTGAGGTCATAGGTCAGTTTGTGTTTCACAACAAACTGAAACTGTAAGGAAACGATGTATTAATTATTCAAGCATGGTTTGAGACAGTTATCATTCTTAACAAGGAAAGCACCATACGATATGGCTCAGTGTGCGGAAGCAGCAACACCAGACTCGCCGAAAGTGACTAGAACCTGGTTTTTTCTAGGTATGTGTTCATTTCTGTTCAGGTTGATTGACATACGCCCCTTCTAATTATGTACATGTACCTTCGCATTTACGTGGAGGTAGAAACTACCTCCATGGTATTTATAGGCCCATGCTCAATATTTACAATAAAGATTATGTATACGTGACTTACTATAACAATTGTTAACATTGACGCATCATTCACGTTGCCTTGACAACTGTAGCTTATACGAGGACAACACGGACCTGCACACAGTATTGGAGCTAATTTTAGCTCTGTATAGTGATGGGGCCTTCGTAAAACAATCCAGCTGCAGTCATTCCCTAGTCGATTGCAAATATTAGAAGATGTGCCAACCAGTAGGGCTGTAATCAGTGCTTGACCACAGTCATTTTCTATTAACAGGTAATCTCGCCAGAGATGTAACAGTTGAGGATATCATAAAGTTCTTCAATTTTGAAGTGGAGTGGAGACAGGATCTTGCCAGAGTTGAGCTCATCAATGATAAACATAATAGACCTAAGGGGCATGGATTTATTGGTGTGCCTCGTTACTTAACAGATCGTGTGATGGAATTCCATGAACGGTTAGCAACTAAAAGATTATTCATCTCTTTTGGGTTCTGTTCTTTGTAGCGCTATGAAAAATATAGGTGTAATTTATTTTCAGCATTTCAGTTGTTATGATAATTTACATTGTAAAAAGAGAAGAAACTAAAGAAGTCAATATATCAATTCAGAACTTGAGAATTGTGATGAAATAATCCACAGTAAATAATTCTTTTTTATTACCGTGTAATTTAAATATTATTAATTAAATCTCATGTACAAGTTAAATGTCCTAATATTTATTTCAGCGATTTTCATGGTAGAAAATTAAAAGTTGAACGTGCTAAGGCTGGTCGGTATTTGAAAATGACAAATCGTCAGTTTGTTGGTATTGGACATGGTGTTCATGTGTCTACAAGCAAGCAGATTCTTGTACACCCTAAACCTGATATGTCAAGTTGGCCTCATGTCATTGACATTGGTGCAAATTTAGCCCATGCCTCTTTCACAAAGGACCTACCCAGAATTCTAAATGTAAGTATTAAATTAAAATTTTGTTCAAAATTATAGTTTCCAAAAGTGAAAATTATGTGATTAAAGTTTTTCTATTCTATTCTATTCTATTCTATTCTATTCTATTCTATTCTATTCTATTCTATTCTATTCTATTCTATTCTATTCTATTCTATTCTATTCTATTCTATTCTATTCTATTCTATGTATCTGCATTAAATTAAAACATCTCTTTCAATTCTCATATTTACAGAATGCTAAGGTTGTAGGTGTTCAAAAGATTATTGTGACAGGTACGTCTCTGAAGACGAGTTACAGTGCACAGAAACTGACACAAGAACACACAGATTATCTTTATTTTACTGCAGGTAAATATGTGCCTATATTTTGTAATTTTTTCTGTACATGTCCTCAGTACATCTAGGAGCCATGATATCCTCATTGCAAGGAATAAGACAAACACTTGCAACATCTTCAAATTTGGACGCAGATACAGATAAAGATCATCTAAAATACTATATGACATTGTATGTAGCTTTGGAATGTTATTCCAAACTGATGATATCAGTAATTTATTTCAGGTGTTCATCCCCATGATGCTGTTACCTGGAATGATGACGTGGCAAAAAGGATTGAGAAACTCTGTGAAGACCCTGCCTGCGTAGCCGTGGGTGAAACTGGGTTAGATTTTGAGAGGAATTTCTCTCCCCAAGATGTACAGCAAACAGTATTTGAAAAACAGGTAAATTCACTTCACTGTACAATCTGAGACTACATGAGAATATGGGCTCGTAGCTCAAGTTGAGCGATTATCTGCCGTCGTCTTGTGTTCGCATCAACTTTTCATGTTTTTGAATTCTTTGAGTATTGATGTATATGTTCCTTGGTAGATCTTTCTTAGATTTGTTTATTTCATGATGATATCTTTAATTCTCTAATTTTGGTGAATATTTTTGTTAAGAAGTGATATCTGATTGCTTTGATATTATACATGTAGGTACCTCAGATGAACCGTTCTCAGATTTGTTCATTTTGTGATGATATCCTCAATTCTCTAATTTAAACGTGCATTGCTAACAGCGGGGCTATCTCAGTCAAGAGGTTTGATGCACTGTGTTCAGTATAATTAAACTTTACAGTGGGTGCAAACAAGATTTGTATGGGTCCTAGGAAAGTCCCAATGAACATTGTAATATAGCAAGGGACTTTCTCATTGGTGTTATCTAATGATCTAACAATTTGCTACACATTGTATTGTATGTGTAATACTGGTAGTTTAATTGTCGTTTATTTTAAAAAGCTTTAATACAGCAATTACCAAAACTGAAATGTCAGATTTCATTAAGGATGTAATAAAGCACTATTCTGTTCTGTTCTGTTCTATTCTATTCTATTCTATTCTATTCTATTCTATTCTATTCTATTCTATTCTATTCTATTCTATTCTATTCTATTCTATTCTATTCTATTCTATTCTATTCTATTCTATTCTATGGTGACAATCTCACTTTATCTGGCACTACTTGATTTGGACTAATTAATTAATTTTTGTCTAGGTACATACTATGGCTATTAAAGTCTGTTTTCAAATGGCAACATTGTTGTGACTATACAAAGGAAGTTACATTTTACCTGTACAAATCTTGTTTGTGATTGCTTCAACCATCTGGGTAAGCTGATGGGGTTATTGGAACATTGATTAGGACGTTCCCAGGGAAGCTGTTCCAAATCTTGTTTGTGTCCGCTGTAGTGTTTTTGGAGTTGTGGCTTTGCATCTTTGTTCTTTTCTGTGGATTTTATCAGTAAATATTGTAGAATCTTTGGCGTAATATGTCTAAATATGTACATTATAGGCTAATCTGTTAAAACCATTGTGACTGGGACTCTTACACACCTTTGCAATCAAACAGGTTGACACAATGTGTTGTCCAATATTGAGATCACATTTGAAAATGTATTCCACTTTGTTTTGATTTTTTACAGATTCAACTTGCATGTAAACTCAAAAAACCATTGTTTGTTCATGAAAGAAAAGCATTTGATGATGTCCTTCGATTATTGGTGAAATACAAGAAAGATTTACCCCCTACAGTTATACATTGCTTTGGAGGCACTGACGTACAACTGGAGACTTATCTAGAAAACGGATTCTACATTGGACTCACTGGTAAATTTTATACAATGCTTTGGATAATTATACAATCATGTTACCACTGATGGAAACTTTCTAATTTCAATTTGACTTCTTTAGTCCAAAATTTGTTAAACTTAAACAGACAACCATTTTTGTCCAAAAAAACAGGCATTTCTGGATAAAATTGTGTTCAAACTTGGAGTTGATATCATTCTTGGTGGGTTACTGATGTGCAGCATTTTGTTTTGGGATTTGATTAGAAATGGCTGACTGGTGGCCATTTTGTAAATTTTACAAATACAAATCTCTTTGATAGTCTTTTGCAGACTTTGTTTAAATTTGGTAGTACTGTATTTAGTTTCAAAAATCAACTGTTTCAAACCTACAGGCATAATGTTTTTTATGTACTTTATTAACTGAAATATTATGCAGTTTTGTTTGAACAATATGAAAATTGTCTGAAAATGGGTATCCATTTTCACATTTTGGTATTCTGAGAGGAGTAGGGTATACATCTTTGAAATGGAAGTACACCCTCTCACCCACACAATACACACACACACACACGTACCATTGTCTTACCATTGTTGTGATGATACACATTGGATTAACTTTCAAAATAGTTCAATTAACTTTTTATATAGTTGCATTATTTTGGATTAAAACATGACTCTATATATAGTTGGGTTTTGATTGGAGTTTAGTTAAACTCAATTGCAATGCAATTCAACATAGAATTGCGTTTTAGTTCAAGTTTAATTAAATAAAAGTAGAAATAACATCATGCATCTTGTGATTTAACATAGAAATGCAAAGCTTAAGGTTAGTAGGGGGATAGGTATGGTGCAATTGTACCATACTTTCCTCCTTCACTAACCCTAAGCTATGCAAACTTAAATTTGATTAAATAATAATTGTGAGGGTCGTCACTTAGTAGGTGTAAAGTTAAATGGAAGTTGTCACAACGTTGATAAGGCGAATGCACACACACAAACAGGACTGTACATTTCTAAAAGTTTACTGTACTATATAAATCACTGTACAAGATTTACCAGCAAACACTTGGTATACCAGGTATATCAAATAAATACTTGAAGGATTATCTTAGTTATTATAACGACCAATTACAAACAAGGATGACAAAATGACAGAAAAAATTTAATGTATTTGGACAAAAATATTTGGACACAGAAACTCATAAATTATCTCTTAATAGAAAGATTTGTAATACAAATAAGAAAGACACGATGCTAACTTTTCTATGTAATTCCTAATATTAGTCTTATTTCACTTTGCAGGTTCTGTTTTTCGAGACACACAACAACATGGACCTCTGCAAATCCTGATAGATAAATTAATGCCACTGGATAAACTGATGATAGAAACCGATAGCCCATTCCTGTTTCCAGATATCAAACGATTTCTTAAAAACTATGCTGCAAAACAGTTGTATGCAAAATCAGACATTAAATCCAAATTTGATAACTTAGAGAGGTTGTTGAAAACATACTGCAAGGGACATCGAAATGAGCCTTGTACACTGGCAGTGACCAATCAAATCATTGCAATACTTATGGGACTTGAGCCAGAAGAGGTTGCCAAGGCAACAACAGATAATGCTATGTCATTTTTCAGATTGACTTAGGAATTTTGAAAACGTCTTGTAATATTCATATTATGAAATATGTTTTAAGTATTCGACACTTAGAGGGTATACACATTTATGTGTTGTCTTATACTATTTTTTCAATAAAACAATTTCTTTTTTATTTTATCATTCCACAGTTTCACTACAACTTATTCAAAAGGGTTCTGTTATTTGCTCAATTGGAAGTATATTTCCAATATAAATGCTAGATTATTGAAGTTTGACCATACTACTACTTATGTGGATAAATGTCTACACATTAAATTAACTGCTTTTCTTTTTTATTTTTTTATATTGTGTTTTCCAAAATAATATATTCTGAACTTTTTAAAACTTTTTGCAACAGTACTTGACACTTATTTAAAAAAATCTGTTTATATTTGCGAAAAGTTGATAGTGTCAAGTTAATTCTTATTAGTACCAGTATATGAAAGTATATGCATTCATTTGTCCAGAAAAAAAATCTCCAACTTGTTAAGAAAAAATCTTGCTAAATTCAGCCATTTTTTATATTTTATCAAATTTGGTTAAATGTTCGGCTAATATTTTTTAAGTAAAATTATTCAGCAGCCAGATAGAAGGTATTTTCCCTGTGAATGTAATATTCATTCTTACATATACAAATGAGTATTGAACTGACATTGTCACAATGTGATATAATAAATGACTTTTTGAATTTCAAACGATTTCCACTTCCACTCCCGGCACAGTATCCAGCATACCTCTTGCGGCATACATTTTAAACAAACATCGTTGAGGGCAGTATACATACACTGAAAGTCAATACTGTATATGGCTTAGTTATTAGGTGGGTTTTATTTCCAGCTGATTACAGCTAAATGTGTTGTATAACGAATAGGCTGTAACACATTTATCGTATTTTAGCCGTGTACCATGTTAATCGAAATAACACCAGTCACAGCCTCTATCATATTCTGCCAATTTCCTCTTCTGCTGGCACTCGTTGGGCTCTCATCCATAGATTGTGATTGCTGATCTTGTTCGGCCAGTGAATCTTAAGAATTCATCGAAGACAGTTATTTGTAAGTCTGTTTAACGATATTATAGCTTAGAACAAAGACACTATAAAATGTTTTTGCTTAGAACAAGGATCTGTGTAATCAAAATATATTCGATGTTCAAAGGACAAAAGAAATGCCGAGACTGGTTTTTGCCGTTGGTGGCGTGATGTCAACGAATAACAATTCTTTCGGGTTTTCATTGGCTGTAGCCAATAGACGTGTAACAAGTTGGCCGATAAAGATTACTTTCCCTAAATTGTACATCATCTTTATTTATAGATATACGATGTAATCTTGGGATGAGAATAGTTTAGATTTGTACAGATACTAGTAATTTTCAATATAACTGAATACTTAACGTGACCAACATTGTATTCGTGTATAATGATTGACAATTGTTTATTCATATTTTTTCCAATTCCTTTAAATGCAATCATCGAACTTTTTTTAAATAAAAAAATGCCCCGCCAACACCAATTTTCTAGTTGGAGACCTTTTAGCTGATACTTCTCTGCATTCTACACCTGCCTCATAAGACATTGCAAAAGATGCTGATGAATACAACTAGACCTCACCCTCCGCCAGTAGATTGGTAACGATAAGAACAGAATAATATGTGTCTTGTACGACAGAGTGTTTTGTAGCCAGGGTGAGAAACGTTCGTGAAAGGTCCCAGTAATAAGAATGTCAACGCTATTGTTGTATTGAATGCGGATCCATCGACTTGATCTACGGGACCTTTAAAATGAGTGTCTATTCGAATGCAAATGATTTGTCCTCCTCTGTCCTCTGTCATATATTTTATACATAGCCACCGGACGGATACTCGGGCACAGGAACTGTCGGATATTACAGGAAATCAAGCTAGTTATCAAGTGTTATCGGTAGGTATTGTTTCAATAATTGTATGTACTAGTAATTGCACACTAATATTCCAATCAGCTTTTTTAGATACATTTTTAAATCTTTCTAATGCACATAAACAATGTTGGACTAAACTTGTATTGTGTATTCACGGCACGTTATGGTGTATCCTAGTTTCTAGTTTGTGTACATCGAAGTACGAAACTGGAGTTGATACTCTCCAGTCTGGACATTTACAAGTGTACTAAGTATATTAAACAATGAGTAGAACCAATCGCCACTCAAACAGGAATGTAACTTAGCAACTTGAAAATCAAGTAATTGATATCATTAAATATTGTAATTCCTAAAACCGTCCTTCTGTTAATTAGTTGAAGGTCCGGGAAGTTGTTATCGTGTCTTCGTTTCTAATCCGATACTTTATATTGACGATAGCATTCGTGGTTGCCTACACACATCGCATACATTGTTCCATGACAATAACGATGTTATTGTGTTTTTATAGATGGATCGAGGTCATTTACCGTAGTACAATGCCACACGGTTGTTATAATTGAATAAAGGGGCAGCAATGACAATAAAATATACCCTCTTCTGTTGTGCATTGTCTCTAACACGATGCTGCGTTTACTGTCCCCGGCTAGCGGCCATTTCTGTGTTCTTTGTGTTTATTAGGACAGATAAACAACGCGGACACGGAATACATTTGTTGATTTTTAAACCGAGGATGTGTGGCTTCAAAGCGTGGCAGTACAAATACTAGTAAGCGATGGGACACTTAAATTATAATATTACTATATGTAAACGCATTTTGATGAATACATATATGACTTAGTGTTCAATGAAATAACGAAATACTCAACATACAAGGGTCCTGGTTATTTTCGTACATACAATAACAATCAGTGCACATACTTGTTAGTATTTTAAGAATATCGTTGCATGTGCTACAAAAGCAACATATTAGTTGACTTTAATCATAGTCCAATTTTAACATCGTGATACATGCAGTATAACATCATAATAATGTTTAAAAATATGTGTTTTCGTTGATATTGCATATTTATATTGTCATGCACGCCAAGATAAACGAATAATACTAGTATATTATACCGGTTTAAAATGTATGTATTGACGTGTCTGTTTTAGTTGTTAGTTTTGACGGTGAGACAATATATCGGTTCTTTTATTAACACATTAACATAGATACTTGAGTAAAGTGCGCCCTCTTATAACTTTAACTTTATTGACATTATTCATTTTGAATAGAACATAGTCCAATCTATAACTAGATAACAATTCCTAAATACATAAACAAAAACATACTAAAACAGTTTAACAAAGGGGCTTGAAAAAATCAGGGAATTGATAATTACTTCATCACACTACCATACTTTCTTTATATGACTATTCGGTTCATGAAAGTCTCGCGGTGGCGCGATCTATGCGACTTTTGAACTTTTGTGGGTCTTGGGTCCGCAATTGCTGTATTAAAAGTTCTATATACACAGAATTTGTCACTGCAAATAACAATTGAATATCACCAAATATTTCTGGCGGAAAGACAACTCATATCAGACTGAGTTGTCACAAGTTAGAAATTAAATGGTTACTAAGGTGTCTCAGACATTTTCTTACGGTTTCAATACAGATTTACTCTGTTCTATTTTATTTTATTCCTAAATGCCGACTGGACAAAGGATCAGCAAAAATGTAATGCATATAGTATCCCTTTCACTGTTTACACTATTGGAAGTAAAACGCTGTATTCGCAATTCAACAACCAAATGTTAAAGGGTGATGTTCGTCGCGCTGCGCATGTGCGACATTTGTGTTGATAAACATTGATTTTCCCATAATCTAATGCGCTCTTCTAATGGAAATCTGGGCGCGACTTACACTAATCACCGCCGGCGACTCCTTCGATACCTTCCAATCACATAAAAAATACCCAATTAAAGCCTGGTAAAGTCTCAGTTTGTACTGATTGATCTGCGTAACAGTCAAAGTCGCTATATTTGTTTATATGAGACCCATATGTCTCGCGCATGCGTGGCGCGACGACTACCGCCCTTTAATTTTTCATTCTGAAAATAATACCCCAAAATTCAAAATTATGTTCCATTCTACAAAATTAATGTTATTTATTTCCCAAAATGAATACATAATATGTGCAAGTGACTGTATTTATTATGTCAAGTTCGTTTCCACTGCACTTTTCTTGTCACAATGAAATTATATTTAATAAAGCGCAATAAATGACGCACTAGTGATGAAGTTTATTTCACTATAAACATATATACATATAATAATATACATATAAATGTGGTATATAAACAAATGAGTAAATAAAATTAAGCAAATAAGTGTATAATTTGAATTTTAAATATAAATATTGTTTAGATATTTATATAAATTGTTTATAGTGAGGATCACGAAAATAGTTTCCTAGAACTAGTCTAGTCCGTGACCCTTTATACAGAATGAACAAAATAAACAGTAAATAATAATAATATTAATAAGTTATATACAGGTACATAGTTGTATATTTAAATAATTGAATAGATTCAAAGTCTTAAATTAACGAAGAGATAAAAGAATATATATATATATAGATATAAAATCGACACTCGTTGTAAATGTAGTTTAGATAAAGATATCGACTCTTTAATCACTCAGTCATTCAGTTGAAATTATATTAAGAGTCTTATTATAAAAATAGGACGTCACATAGTTACATGAGTAATTCTACATTTCTTTGTTTGTTTGTTTGTTTATTTCAGTGCCGCCTCCAGGCAGTGACGTCACAACTGTAGATGGCCAACAACTTTATCAGCCAAGTAGAGATAGAAGAAAGAATTCAGTGTTTAATATGTCACGGTCGTCTGGAGCATCCAAAACAACTAAGTTGCACACACAGTTTCTGTCTGGGTTGTCTGCGACGAAGTTTTCGTGGCAACAAAATATCATGTCCTTCCTGTAAATTTGTAACGAACATCCCGCAATCTGGCGTGGAGGCACTGCAGGATGACCATTTTTCGAACGCGCTTATAGAATTAGTGAGCCCCTCCCGCCAGAGACCGGCATCGCCCGGATTCTATCCCAGCATTACTTGCAAATCCCATAGAAAGAATCTGGATATCTACTGTATCACATGTGAGGAACCGGTATGCTACGAATGCCTGCGTCACCATGGTGACCATCTGTATGAGGCTTTGACTGATGTGAGCACGCATCGAAGGAGAGATCTGCGCAACATGTGTGTACGATTAGAAGAAGCTACACATACGATTAATGGAAATATTTTACAACTGCAGCACCTAAAGAGCAGACTTGGGCAGGATTTAGATACGACTAAGGCGGAAATCAACGAACGCGCCCAGAGACAGATCCAACTTATTGAGAAGCAACGAGGAACTGTAATTAATGACCTGGAGAGACAAACCAATAACCAGTTACAGCGCGTGCAACAGATACACCAAGGATGGCAGGATGCGGTAAAAACTATACAAAACTGTGAATCATACACGAGTCAGTTAATAGAGGATAGCAATGATGTTGGTTTCTTGAAACACGAGCGGGAGGCGAAGGAAAGGTTACTGCGCCTGCGCAGTGTGCCTTTACCGGTTTATCAGATCCAGCCAAGGCGATACGTACATTTCACCAGCAACGAAGAATTCCTGAGAAACTCGACGATTGAAGACTTGGGACACTGTCGTGATTGCCAATCTGTGATTTTCCCCCGTAAATACCGTGAAAAGCTCACTTTCCCGTCATCCTCCACCAATTTGAAACCAAGCTTACGTAATCCATATGACGTCGCTCTGTGTCTAAATAATGACATTATTGTCAGTGACAATGGAAATCAGACTTTGCAACTTTTTGACAAATTTGGGGCGTATATCAAAAATGTTACCCCAAATATTACAGGATTTGACCCTAAGGGTATTGCTATAACAAGACAAAACAAACTAATAATATCAGACTGCAGAAATAATAGAGTTGTGATTATAGATTCAAATGGTAAACTGGAGAAAACCATCGGAGACATAGTCGAACCAATAGGGATCGCGATAAGCAAAGATGGCAGTATATATGTTGTTAGTTATGGCAGCCACTGCGTAAAGATTTATTCATTCCAAGGAAAATTTCGTTTAACGTTTGGTGGAAATGGAAATGGTCATGGGAAATTTAACCATCCCATGTTTATTGCTATTAATTCTAAAGACCAGTTGATAATTAGCGATAATTACAATAACCGAGTACAGATACTAGATTCGCAAGGATTTTATCAATTTTCTATCTGCCAATGGGGTGAAAACGAACCGTTAACGTATCCAAGAGGGGTGGCAATCGATTCTCAGAACAACATCTACGTCAGCAGTGAACGTGGGATCCATGTATACAGCGAAGATGGACTATACATAAACCAGGTATCATCTAAACATCCGGGAATTAGACATAACTACTTCGGTGTTACAGTTGCAAAACGTGACCCACCAAAAGTGATCGCAGTGGACCATCACAACAAGTTTATCACAATTTACGAATGCGAGGAAGAAGACGCGGTTCGTATCCAGGTAATTCAGGCATGTAACCCTGGTAACATTTTTCCTAGGAGGCACAGGCAAATATTCATAGAAGACAAAGAGAACAGAACACATGCAAAAAGTGGAGTTTGTATAATCCTGTAGTGCAGTGTATGTATGTGAATATTTGCATTGTGTGTTCATAGATAAGGAAACAGAACTGCCACATAAACGACAAGCGCCCCATGTCCATTACGCGTCTAATTCCCACTTATGACGTCATGATTTGGTACTTGGCGATGTAAAGAAGCCTGTGTCCAGACATGAGGAACGATGATGCGACTACGAGGACAGATTATACAGATGACGACCATCTTCTGCTATGTTTTATATAAGATCTAAGAGAAATGTTATTTCACTCATTCAAACACATAAACATGCATAATCCATGGCATATGGTGGGAATTCGTTTATTTCATCATTGTACAATGCATTAACGAAGTTGAGAACAGGGCAAAGTGTCAAATTCCAACTGTTGAAAACAATGCACAGGCTTTCTTAAAAGACCGATATTTTGATGTTTCATTTATTACAACAAAACAAACATTTACACTTTTGAAATTAAGCCCCCCCCCCCCCCGATGTGCATCTGGTGGACATTCGTTTATTTAATTTCCATCACAACATTAGTCTTTAAAAAAATGTCTGAAAATAACAATTTAATGACGGTGAATTAAGATATATTGAACGCAAAGTGTTCAACCCGAAAATGAAATTTGGAATTTTGCTTCCAATTTCTCAATTTTTTATTCCGCAGGCTTTTTAGTAATCACTGTCTGACTTTAAGTGGTTACCATTGCTATGCACTGTTGATCAGAAAGCAACATACTGAATAACAATATATTATATTCTCATATGAGTATTTAATTATTGAAAGTTATGATTTGATGATATCATCGTGACGTATTCTATTAAACGTTAATCGAAAATTAATGCGCCCTCACATGACCACCCCAAAACGACGAATTTGCTTCAGCAACTTGAATGTATTTGTGAGAAATACACGTGTACATGCCTTTAAAGACGCGAGATAAAAGTACAATATTGTTATAACAAATAAATTTATATCCATCAAAACATTGTACATTCATTATTGCGTTGTCTATGCAGAATAAACCTGTCTCAGCCACCCGAATTTTTGACAATACTTTTCATAAATTATATTAGTTGATTAAAGTTCAAATAGTAGGTTTTCCCAAGAACTGAGCATAATTAATACAATTATAGATGCAACATATGTTAGGCTCAAAAACATTTCTCCATAATTTATGACTTAGTCCACTGCCATCCTTCAATATTATTCAAAATTTATGAATACTGGTGAAATTGGGGTAAAGCGTGGAGAACCCACTTTTCCCTAAATTCAGTATATCACGATGGCTTTACTGAATGAAAACGCAGAGTCACGTAACCATTTAGTGTCCATTTAACTTATTATATGCAGCTTAATTGTTACCAGGGTTTTCACATTCGCTTAGTTAGATTATCCAAAAACACTAAATTAACCCCAATTAACATGCAAAAAACCAACCTTCACAGCCATTCAATTAATAAAAGTAAAAATTATTCTTGTTATTTTTGAAAAATTGAAATGAATTAAAAACGACAGGCGTGGCAATTATACCAAGAAATACAGGCTTAGAAGATACAGAACAATTAAATCTGATATTGAACTTCAGCCATATCTGATCAAGCTCCGTAATACTGACCTGTGTGCTCACTGGTTAAGCTCCGCTTGCATGACCACAATCTCAAAATTGAGTCTGGCTACTATAAGCGCGCCCCTGTGACATGTAACAAAAAAAATAATGGCTGTATTTAAAGATGAATTTCATCTTCTTATAGAGTGTAGTAGCTATACTGACATTCGGGAAATTTTTCAAGTTACCAAAATCAGGGTTACTGCATTTCACAGATGCACCAAAAAAAGAGCGATTCAGTGTCTTCAATAATACAAAAATACTTATGTAGCACAGTATAATATGCGAGTAAAAGTAATGGTAAAAAATAGCAAACCTCCTTTATAATTTGTTTTTCTTTCAGATTTTCTCTTTTCTTCTCTTTTTTTATTTGTAAACATTTCCTTCCCTCTGTTTATAAATATTGAATAAAAGCGCCCTCACATGACATAGAATATAAAGTACGATGGCGGCCTGCATGGTAACGTGGAATTTCTTGCAGGCTGTAGAGTCGTCGTCAAAATCATTGCTGTTAGGAGACGACTACATCACAGCTTTAGAACGCGGTATTAACGGTAGGTGGTCATGTTTATGATTTTTTCTCGTTCTCTGTTAGTTCCGTATATGACGTCACGTTTTGAGTTGAACCTCGGACAACTAATAAAGTTGTCAGAGGTTGAACTCTTTCCCGGACGGACTCGGAGATAAATTTGGTGGGGTGGGGGTGGTGCGTGTCACCTGTGGTGTGTGTTATGTTATTATATATTATTCGCATTGAAGGTCATTGAAGGTCATTGCCAAGTTGCCACCCTTTTAAGATTCCAAATACAGAGTGAGTGAGCCAATGTAGCATTGCAACAATGGGGGGGGGGGGGGGTTATATGGTTTAGACCTGTTACAAAAAATGATTTCCATGTATGTGTATATTTTTTCAGTTGTTGAGTTAGACAATTCTGTTAAAAGTGTTGGTTTGAGTGGTATACCAAACAGTCATGGTGAGCTACAACTAGATGCAGCTATCATGAAAGGAGATATGCTGCAATTTGGAGGAGTGGCTGCCATGAAAAGGTACATACCGGTATTATCAACACAAACAAATCTCCATGTAAATTGTTTGTATCCTTATTAGTCCCCCCCCCCAACCTAAAAATACTGTAGAATACTTTATTTTTGCTTCAGCTAATTTTCGCTGAAGGAATGATTCAGTAAAAATAAAATCCAGCAAATATACTTTTTTTCCTATATTTTGTATTCAACTCATCAAAAATCAGTGAAAATAAATTCCATACAAAACACCCAAAATATCTTTTCAGCAAAAATTAATTCCAGCTAAAATAAAGTATTTTACAGTATACTTATTTAGTGGGAATGTATTGCCACTGGATTTGAAAAATATGCAAGTAAATAAACTCCTGGATGCAATAAAGTTTTTATTATTATTAATTGTGAAACCAAATAGTTTCTTGATGAATAAACTTCACAATGACCTTAATAATTTTAGGAAAAACCTACACTCAGATTACCTAAACATGAAGAAAATGTCACGAAAAGTCTTGTGAACTAGTAAATACAGGATTACTGTGATTCAACATGGCCACGTATTTTGTTATGTGTAAACAAAATATGATGTCATGGCAAGTTACTTTTTGATAATTTTGAATTTCAGTCAATGCAATCAAAGAATATTTTTGAAAGTTAGTTTGGTAATGTTATGTTATTGATATTGTTATATCATGTGACTTTTATTCATCAAGAAAGTAATTGGTGTGTAAACTGATTTTATTGCCAAATTCCTTAATATTTATTTATTTGTTTGTTGCAGCCCTTTTAAATCAGCGACTCATTATTTAAATAAATAAATATATACATAACAAAATAAACATAAACAAAAATTAGATCAAATGTTAGAATTAAGAAAGAAATACACAAAAATGATAACATTTAAACAAGAGTGTTTTAGGTTATTCTAAAAACATTTGTCTGGACTCCATATGACTGCAAGGAATTGTTTGAACAATTTAATTTTTTTCTTTGTTCAAAATTTGAGGTTTTATCTTCCCCCCTGACAACATGGGCAAGTACATTTTTCATAAGTTGGATCACCTTAAAATTGGTCATTGTATATGTGATTAACATTTCTCTTGTTATTGTTGAACTTCTTGTAGCAGAGCTAAATTTAATATTTTCTCCCCACTTATCTTCATTATGGTTGGGAACCGAAAGTCTTATTATCTGTGTATTTTCTAAATTTGTTATTTTTGTATATTGTCTATTTCTTTCTGCTATTTCCATAAAATAATTTGATGAAATAACAAGAAAATAATTTAAGGTTGTAGTAGTCTTTTATGGAGAGAAAATGCATTGTTAAATCATCTGTATAACCTATTTTATCGTATTGTATTTGCATAGTATTGATGAGAAGTCTTGGCCACTTACATTGTACATCTTTGTCTGACTTGGTGTAATAATTTGATGAGAGATTATAGCCCAAAATGGGAACAAAAAATGTATGAACATTTGTGTTCAATAATGGGACTCTATTTCCATCTGTTGCTAGAGTAGTATAGTTATAAATAAAGTGTTCAATGTGATGTTGATAACCTTGAACTTGTTGACGCTGGAGACATAGTTTTCCCAATAAAAGGGGGAATTCAATCATGTGCTGATTTATTGAGTGGATGCTGGGAAGGCTTTTTGTGGAACGCCAAATTTTATTGTTTTCAGTGCTAAGTGTATAAAACTGTAAAATACTTTATTTCAGCTGAAATTAATTTTCGCTGAAAAGACATTTTTGGTGCTTTGTATGGAATTTATTTTTACTGATTTTTGAAAAGTTGAATGTAAAATATAGGAAAAAAGGTATATTCGCTGCATTTTATTTTCACTGAAACATTCCTTCAGCGAAAATTAATTTCAAGCAAAAATAAAGTATTCTACAGTAATAACACAGAAAAAATATTGACTGTAGCACTTTGAATACCTGACTGTTATTGCCACAGTGCTGGTCGAAACAATATACGGTATATAATATAATCTACATGTGTATTTGATTCATTGAATGTAAAATAGGCCCTTTTGCTGAACTTTCTTTTCAAAAGAATTGATAGACCAATCAGTGTTGCCCGCAAAGTCTTGGAATGCAGTCATCACAGTTTGATTGTTGGAGAAGGAGCTACACAGTTTGCAGTGGAAAAAGGATTTAAATTACAACCACTGATAACAGAAAAACAGGTAGAATCATTTCAGTTTCTGAAAAATACATTTACATGTATATTGGTGAACAATTTTCTACTTTCTTTAATGAATAAAGTCACCAATTTCAAGGTAGAATACTACTAATGATTATAGATGTATGTTTTAGTGTGTATGACAGTGACAATTATATTTGTGTCAAGTTCTTTATGTTTATTTCAATGTTTGTTGAGAAAAACTGTCATGCATCAAATAAAATTTTTGCACTAAAATAATACAGTGGCCCCTCGCTAAGTCGCGCCTCGGTAAGTCGCGATTCGGCTAAGTCGCGGGTACTTGGATGGCTCCCAAAATTTCTATTGTGTTTTGACAGCAGTTTTGAAGTACAAAGACTAATGTTTCGTGGCATAGTATTTTTAACTAACCGTTAAAGAGACAACTTAACACCCACTGTCCGTCAATTGCTGAGATGCAATAGGTGAAGGCGGCCTTACTCAAGGTGTCAACAGGGATGTTGAGTAGTGGCCGTACGTACTTCTTGGCCGGTCCGATTTTGGTATACCTCTACAAAAACTCGCTACAATGAGTTGAATTCATAGAATTCTGATCTCTATTTCTCAATTGAGCAGCATGTCAAAGCGAAAGCTATACAGCCTGTTCGTACGCCATAAACTCACGGCGATCGACCGTGTCAAACCAAGTTAAGGGTTGCACGTGGTTGAGCCCACTATTCGTGGGTGGGTAAAAAATGAAAAGTAAATTTGTTTTCAAAGTTGACCAAGAGGCGGGACTGAACAGAAAAACAAG